TTACTAAATCCCTTCCTTCAAGTTCTACTAGAATACCTACTCATTCTGTCCACATATTAATCAACTAAGAGGTTCTAGTAATAAAACCCGAATGCCTATATCAGGATAAGTTAACGCGTAAGGTAAATTCTAAAAATCATTGTATAATTTATCCCGAACCGGTTACAAACATTTAGATCGAGTAAAACTTACCACATTCAGAGTTAACAGTGTATTTTTGAGTTTGTTTATTGTTACACCAGTGCATTGAGTGAACGGAACTATAGTAGGCCCATCGTACACTGAGCTACTGCACGTCAAGTCGGTGTTAGAAAGAAAATCTTATTATCATCATTACATAGTGTTAGCTTCAATACATAAATAACACTCAATTGTCTAATTTGTTACTTACGATGTTGGTGGCGTCACGATTATGCCGCCACCAATAGGAATAGAAATAAAGAAGCCGGGAACAAGGAGGGAGCAGGCTGCTCTCTCTTTGTCGAGGCGACTGAGATGACCAGACGTGAATGTGGAGTGTAATTTGAAAAAGGAATAAAATAATAGTACTGCTGCATCGACATATCATTTCTGAAACTTCCCAATAATAGTATAAAACAAAGTCGCTGTCGCTATCTATCCGTCCCTATGTAAGCTTAAATCTTTACAACATCGCAACGGATTTTGAAGCGGTTTTTTCTAATAGAAAGAGTGATTCAAGAAGAAGGTTTATATGTGTAATACCCAAGCGAAGCCGGGGTCGGTAGCTAGTTAATATTGTAAACGCGAAAGTTTGTGAGTATGGATGGATGTTTGTTACTCTCACGCAAAAACTACTGAACGGATTATGATGAAACTTTACAGTAATGTAGCTATCATAATAACATATAGGCTATAATTTTAAAAGATATTATGTAAAGTGGGCGAAATATAATGATGAATGCCATGTAATTGATGAGACGAAGTTGCGCGGCTCAGCTAGTATTTTATATATGACTCTTCATATTTTTTTACGTATTTATAATTCCAAACAAACTGACAGTCCATCTAATGGTGAATGGAAACCGTTGCCTATATACATAAACAGTAGTAAGTACTTCACCTACAATAGGTCCACTCGTACACCGAGCTACTGCAGGTCAAGTCCGTGAAATATTTTATACTAGCTGTACATGCAACTTCGATCGCGTGGAATTGAACATATTTATTACAAAATAAAAGTAGCCAAAGTTACTCCTTATTACATCAGCTACCTGTCAAAAAAGTTCCGTCAAAATCGGGCCAGCCATTTCAGAGATTAGCCGGAACAAACAGCCTATATAGATAAACAGTACTAAATACTTCACCTACAATAGGTCCACTCGTACACCGAGCTACTGCAGGTCAAGTTCGTGTTACAATAAAATATATTTTATATGAAACGGTATAAAGTTGTTTTTTATGTATCTAAAATGGTAAACAAGTTGATGGTGCACCTGTTCATGCATAGCGGCTTTATACAAAGTCTATCTCTGTAGAAATTAAATGCTAGAAAAAATAACTGAACTAGAATACTAATCTTAAAATACTTATGATTAACTCCAAAAATCCAAAAATTGCTATTGTAGTAACTCAGGCTGATGTACATATGTATGTATTATACCTATTTATAAAATGGTCTTAATCATAACGTTTTATTTTCTTCTGTTATTTTTACGTACGCTGTCTCGTGTGTAGTATGTTTTAGCTTTTAAGTTGTATAGTAAATAAGTTCAAATTCAAATTCAAATTCAAATTCAAATTCAAATTCAAATTCAGATTCAAATTCAAATTCAAAAATCATTTATTCATGTAGGACATTTTAGCCGCTTATGAACGTCAAGTTTCTACATTATAATTAAGAATACTGTAATGATGAATAAATGTCTTTAATGTCGAGACCCTTGGTCCGTGGGGTCCTAGTACTATAAGACTTTTCAAAGAAATAACGAAAAGGTTAGTGTCGACATCACAGAAGATCGAAGAGCTGGCAGCTACCTTGGACAAAGAATTAGTCTAGCTATTCAAAAAGGGAACGCTGCCAGTATCTTCGGAACGTTGCCTAAAGGGACCCCTTTTAATAATACATTTTAGTCATCATATTATATATTTTTTAATTTTAGGTTCATAGTTGTACAATTAGGTTATGTAAATAATAAATTAATATAATGTCTTTATTATTATTATTATTATATACCATTGCATTATACTCCATTTAAAAAGAACTACATTTATTTGTTTTCATTTATAAGTAACCTTTGATATTCATTTGCTAGAATCCAATTGAGAGTTAATACGACATGTCATGATATTTATTTTAAAACTAATGTTGATTTATGTATGTATAAACTCGTAATACACAACTGTCAGATTGATAGACAGAAGCAAATACACACAACAGTGATACTAAGAATTATAATATATATTATAAGTGTATATATTCACTTTTCTTTCGACTTAATTACTAGGGGCTCGTCAGACTTAGTTAAAATTTTCTGTAAATTTATTTAAATAAATAATATTACAGAAAATTTTAACTAATTATATACAAACATACAAACAGATGCGGCAGAGACTTTGTTTAATAATATGTATATATTTAAAGATATTTTTTATTTTCCTTAATTTTTTTAAAATTACGATAGTGGCAAACAGGCATATGGTCCATCTGATAGACGATTACCTTAGCCTGAAACACCAGGGGTGTCACGTGTGCATTGCCGCTCTTAATATACCCTTCTTTAAAAACCCCATACTGTAGTCTCGTGAGAAAACCTCGGCAGGTTCATTTCACAGTTTAAGTGTACACGGGAGGAAGCTCCTCTGAAACCGCATTGTCCGAGACCACTTAGGTTCCAGTGTATGGGGATGAATTCCCTATCGATGGCGTGCAGTGTGGTGGTAAAAGGAACACAATAAAATAATACATTGATGCGATATCGATCGCCTGTTGTGCGATCGACCTAAGTACCTCTCACAGCTCTATCCAGTATCTTCAGATTTACGACTACATTACTCTCGACATTTGCATTAAAGTGTAATTATAACAAATCATAATGTTTGAACTGCATTTAGCACGCTTGTTGTAATCGATTGATTGGTTTGCAATTTTGTATTTTATGTGTTCTGTGATAGAAACGCATTTTCTATGACGTTCATTGTTGTTTATAATCAATTATTTGTAATGACCTTCCTATTGACGTGTTATACGATGCCGCAAATATAATGCAATAGATGTACAATCGGATTTACTCTGCGTGATCGAATCAGAAATGAGGAGATCCGCAGAAGAACCAGAGTGACCGACATAACCCGAAGAATTGCGACTCTGAAGTGGCAACGGGCGGGGCACATAGCTCGGAGGACAGATGGCCGTTGGGCAGTAAAGTCCTCGAGTGGCGACCACGGACCGGAAGACGCAGCGTGGGAAGGCCTCCAGCAAGGTAGACCGACGATCTGGTCAAGATCGCTGGAAGACATCTTGTCTGTCAAGTTTTCCGGGCTACGATGATGATAATGATGAGATGTACAATACTCAGCTTAAAGTACACTTTGAACAAAGTCATCTGAGTCTTGTAACGACTGAGCTATCGCAAGTTAAGCGGTGTGCTAAACCGCTAGACCACCGAGGCAGTCCACTGATGATAATCATTAATATTTATAATCATCAAATTAAAAAATCATTTATTCATGTAGGACATTTTAGCCGCTTATAAACGTAAATTTTTTATAATATATTTTATCCCTACCGTCCATTTCAATATATAGATCCAATTGAGAAGTGGCAAGAAACTCAATTGAATTACTTTTTTTAAAAGCCAGTTTGTTTACAAGCTATATTTATATAGGTGTCTATAGATGTTTAATATAAAATGAAAATCCCATGCATTAACTATTTTATACCAACTATGTATGTGTATACCCGTGATTTATGTATATATATATATATATATATATATGTATAGGTACTATAAAGATTCTGATATTACTAGCTAACCCGCTGATTTCGTCTGCATTACACTTGACATGTATCATTATATTTCGCCCAATTTACTTAATATCTTTTTAAATTATAGCCTATATGTTATACTAATATATAACCTATCTAAAGTTCTATAGTATCATCAGTTCAATAGTTTTTGTGTGAAAGAGTAACAAACATCCATCCATACTCACAAAGTACCCCGTTTTTAATATAAGTAATATTTTGGTACCTATTATATAATGAACATAATTTTAAACCGTCCGAATTTTAATATATAGTCTTTTACTGGGTAGACAGAGACAATTGAGTGGACAGATCTGTTTAAATCAATCACTGCAAATAATAAATGTTTTAGTACAAAATATATAATATTGAACATTATGTTAAATACACAAATAAATCTTTATTTAAATTACCTTAAATACACCGTTGATGTTATTTAGTGGCACTAAATAGAATTCATGGGCCGTGATTGCACTAAATCTATCTTCCATTCACACCGGCCATTTAATTTTCATGCCAGTTTCAATAAATCTATATAAATATTTATGGCACTTTGTATAATCAAATTAGGTATAATCTTATACGTATTGTTGTAAATTTGTAAATGTCCGATAGATATAGATTATAGATATAAAAAAAACTATTAAGGAGATATTTATTCGAGCAACAGAAGAGAAACAACAGTTATTAGTGTCTTCTGTTTCAATTCAACAAATACAGTTTTCATTTATATATTATTAAATGTAACTTAATTTTTTTTACTTGAAACAATTAACACAGCGCCATCTAGTACCACGATAAGCAGAGCTTGTGTTATGGGTACTAGACAATTGATATAAATACTTAGATCCTTTTTTTTTAGTAAATACATACATAATATATATATAAAACAGCCAGACTGAAAAACGATCATACATGAATATATATATAAAACAAACCACTAGACCAATGTATATAATAAGTTTATTAATTGTATGTAATTATATTTATAAAACTTCTTTTTTCTTTGTTGCAGATTCAACAAACAGAAGACTTGATCCTTTAAGAAGTACAAAATTTTTAAGGTAACCTATAGTTTCCTTTTCACACAGTAAGTTAGTGTATAGAGTGTTCTCTTTCTCTGCTATACCATATATATAATATGAAATTGTGAATATATGAAAAATATTTTCGACAAAAATTAACAAACAATTACGTTTCGGAGGAGTATAAAGACGAAATCTGTGATACAAGAATATTATATATTAGATACGTGATAACTTTGTACCCCTTTTTAAGACCAATAATTATACATTGAAAAAATAATAAAATGGCTGCTGACTGTCATAAATCTGTCGACTTCGTCCTTAGGCACTGGACGCGACATTTATGATAATAGAACCTTAATAACATTAAAAATTTAAATTTATTATGATCTAATTTCGCCCACTAACATACAATATTATTATAAAACTCATGAGTTACATAGCAACACAAAGAGTAGCAAATTCACTTGACCGATCAATGGAAAAAAACGTTTTTAATAAATCAATGATTGCTTTGTCATTGTAAGGAGACAAACGCATAAAATTGTGGCATCGTTCAATGGACATAAATCTCTATAAGATTCCAATGAAATAACAATAAAATCCATTAAACAGATGCACAGCATCTTTCGCAGATTTTATTTCTAGAGTAGACTGTGAAAAGTCGACTGCCTACATCAGTGTTACTTATTTCAACTACCAAGCAGCTTGCTTTAGGGTATGTTTCGGTTGTATGGTGCAGATTTATTATTATTATTTTTTATTATCTCAGCCCGATGGCGTCCACTACTGAACAAAGGCCTCCCCCATTTTGGGGGGATATTGCCATAATCGCCGCGCTTGGTATGCGGGTTGGCGATCGCAGTGTGATGGTAGCCACTCAGTAGAACACTGCTGCCCGTCCACTGGTCGATACCTTACTCGCCTTTTACGACACCCACGGGAAGAGAGGGGGTGGTGCTATTCTTACGGCAACACCACACGTGCAGATTAGTAAGTGACAATACAGGGTAATAAGTATGACATTAGTCCCTGAAATGGCAACGCATTGTGGTATCATGGTGTCATGATAACGTGATGTCCGTAGTACTTTTAATGATTTTGTTTCTTTCGGTTCTGTTCGAACGCTATCGAACATGAGCCATTGACAGAGGCCGAGTCACTTTTCACTTTGCCTTACGCCTACGATATCACCGCACGCGTACCTTATTAATTAGACAATTAAATAATAGAATAGAAATAGAAAATAATTTATTTAAATAGACTTAATTTAAGCACTTTTGAATAGACATAACGATTTTTTTTATCGTTAAAAATTTTGTAACGCTGTCTCATCACAAGAAGAACGAGCAAGAAACTTGTGTGTTGCTCATTTAAATAATTCTTGTATGTTTACGTCGAAACGTGTGAATACAAACTACCAACCAGCACTAATTTTTTTGTGTCAAATGTAAATATACAATAAGATTAAATCAGTCGTAGTGATAAGAGCAGACCAGTCCCTACAAGCAGCACTAGTTCGCGAGTATGACGGATGAGCCAGCCACAGAAAATAAAAAAAAACACCTTACGTAATTTATGTACGCCCCCTTTCCAAAGAAGAAACACAAGTTTTCAAATATGATCATTAAGTACATGAAAGTTCTGAGATAACATATATAAAAAAATACAAGTCGAAAGGCGAACTTCTTTTTTGTAAAGCCAATTTAAAAGTACAAATTTACTTGTCACCAACAATTACTGCCATAACAAAAGTGAGAACACGTTAATTTAACAAAAGCGTTAGACAATTCTTAAACGGCTGTCAGATAAAACAAAAAGGATTCTGACACTCACAATAAAGACGCTTTTAATGATCTAAATTGAGATGCACCGAAGAAAGCCAGTGCGCCGCACAATGAAAGTGTTACAACAAACCGTGACCCATTGATGTATGATGTATTTTTTACATAGAGAAGCCACGACACGTTACGTCAATCCATCCAACTGCAGCACTATTGCTACAATGAGACTTGAGACGCAAATAGAGGCTGTTATAACAATAATATGTTTAAATTTAAGATAATTAAGAGAAAATTGCACTATTCTCATTAAAATTTTAATCGACTGTATTATATCCACTAACAATTTATATTTCAGTTGGGATGTCTTTGATATTCCACTTGGATTCTTGTATTTACTAAAAAATTAAAAGTGTATAAAACCTTTTCTGTGTCACAATAAGATTAAAAAATATTAAATGACATAAAAAATTAAAAACGGGAACAAAGTAAAGTAATAAACGTACGAAATTGTCACAAATATATCGATATTTCGGTACTGTAGTGAATAGAAACAAAACTAAAGAAGAAAAAAGAAAGAAAATACGATTGTTTGATACACATAAAATATAACAAAAATAAAAAAATAGTTTTTTTTATCTACAAATTAGCTACTCTCCCCGGCATCGCCCGGGTGTACATGTATTATACAGCATTACTCTATTAAAAAACCGCTTCGTAGTATAGTTTTAAAGATTTAAGCATACATAGGGACGGACAGACAGCAACAGGGACTTTGTTTTATACTATGTAATAATATGTGATGATTGGATTATCATAGTACCAAATAGGTCTCCACTCAGCATGTGCCGTGACGGGGTGTCACGACGCTGGTATTCTGCGGATACCTTCATATATATAGTAATAATAAAATCTAGGCACAGAACAGTACCAAAAATTTAATACATATAGCTACAACATATTACTATATATTCACATCTGATCTCTAATACAATTATATATAAATACCTCAATGTGTTGATGATGAGATGACAACTGTCGTGTCATTTGTCAGCACAAAGTGGTTTGATCTTACGGCCGACGACTGCCGCAACAAATATTATGAACGACGCGTTATAATTAGATCATTTATTTTGAAATGTTAATGATTAATGATATTTTAATCAACAGGTATTTATTGACGACGTATTTTTTTTATAAACAGATAATTAAAATTCGTGTGTATAATTAATTAATATTATACACATATAACTATAAATAACTATTAAATTAACTATAATACGTAATCCTAAGCTTAATAACGTATGGGATTAATTTGTATGACGTAAATATGTGAACAAATTAGATTTAATAATATTATCTTTAACCGACATTGAAGAAGGGGGATTTCTTAATGTGTTTTATGTATGTTATAATTATACTCTTATTTATATATGTACGTACTTACTACTAATTTGACGCCCTTGAAGACCTAACGATTTAGGACACCAGTTTACAAGTAATTCTTAAGGTCACGGGTTCGATTCCTGGTACGATGCAAACAGTTGTATTTATAACTATGATTTGTTGTATCGGTATGGAGGGTTTTAAATGTACATTATGTCTGAATTTAGAAATAATGTAAGTTTTTCTATATGTCTAGAACCCATAACACTAGCTCTGCTTAGCTTTGGACTAGATGGCGGATAGAATCAGGGTTATTAATTGTATTAATTAATTCATCATTACTATATTAAAATTAGCTTAATTTACAATTAATTAAGATATCATGGAACACCAAAATAAATTTATACTTCAAACTTATAGACGGAAAGCTACTAGGTTTCTATAAACATAAATAACAGACAGCATCATATTTATTACACGTAATATATATTAGCACTAGGAAACTTTCTGTACAAGGTTAAGCCAATATAGGTTAGTGAAACGAATGTCTATACTCTCTGAGGTGGCTCTGATAGATTTATTTCAATTGTAAGACGTCGAGTACAGATAGCGAATAAGAAATCTAGTAAGATAGATAAAAATAATAATAACGGTCCGAGATTGAGGCCTTGTGGTACACCAATGTTTTATTTAAGCAATCATATTGACAGATATTGTTATTGGTTGTACAGTCGTCTTCAGAATTACGTGACGGAATTATATTAATTTGAGTATAATTATTATTTATACAAATTATTATTACCATAATGATTAGGCTTGCCGAATTTAAAAATAAAGTTGGCTTTTGCATAAGTAATGAGGAATATAATAAAAATAATATTCAATTATCTATGGTAATACTGAGACAGACGTACGAACAAAGATGCACTATAATTGATCTGTTACATATTTTAATTCATTGCCCTATAAATAGATATTATTTTAATTGAAATTAATATTAAAAATCTATTTTTAAATAATAATTGATTAATTATTAAATCATTTAATAGTAATAAATTTTAATAATAACTATCAACCTTTAAATAATTTAGACACAATTTCTTACGATTATTGTTTTATTAAGACACTAATTTTAATTTAGAATGAAGTCGAATTTACGTGTAATATATAAAAATTAAATTGTCGTTGTCTTTAATGTCAGGGAATGTTTGGTAATTGGATACAATATATTGTATATTCACACTGACGATATTTTTCATCTGGACACGCGAGCAACGCAGAGGACCAAAGTGGCTTAAGTCAATGCCTATCTGAGATGATTGTAAAAAGAAAAGCAGAAAAAATCATAGAATAAAAATTAAAATACAAAATAAAAACACAATTCCTAAGTACTACAACTAGTTCTTAAGTTAGGCCAGTTTTAAAATTATGAATACTCTTTTATTGTTTTGTCTATTTTTTATCGTGTGGAAAATCTTCAAAATACCATCCCCCGCCAGAGGGATGATACATCCCACACATATATTCCTCATGTATGGGATTCTTACCCACTAAAAATATGATCTACCATATAATGCATATCGTCGATTAAATAGAAAAATGTAATTTTTCAAAATTAGAAGCTAGAATTGCCTCCTTTTATATAAGTCAATTAAATTAACCACGCCGTCTTAATCATTATCTCAATACTTTTAAAATTATATATAATACTTCTGTGTAAATTTAAAACCTTAAAGGGAAAAATAATTAAAACAAATTTAAGAACTTTATATGCATGTCTACAAGACAGAGAAATGTACATTTTGAATTCTGCCATTTTTCAATTTAGCCGACGATATGACCCGTGTACTGCAAACAACACCACAGAACATA